CAAAATATGTATCCTTTTTCATGACCTTCCCCCCAACACATTTTTCTCTTCTCTTCCCTTCTTCTTCTTTCCCATACCGTGATCTGTATTCTACCTAAAGATGCCCAATTCTGTTCTCCTTTTGATTTTGTAATTCCAGCCAGTCGGTATTTGCGCGGTTTTACCCCTTGACGGTCACTGATATTTTTTTTGTCGGACCAGCCATGCACCAGGATCGCATTCGGAGCGCTATGATGATGTACTTCATATTCAATTTATTTTATTTTCTCTTTGGGATTTTAATACTAAGTAGAGAGAGATAGTTATATATGTACACCCTAGAAGTACAGAGTTCCCGAGGTCAAGTACGTCAAGTAGAAGGCGGAGAGGCGATAAAGGACGATTGCTGATCTGAGACCCCCCGCAAGCACCAGCACTCTTACCGTTGTCACCCGTTGATCTCACACCCTTTACAGCTCTGCATCTCCTTTCTGTCTCTCTTTTCTTATCTGACATCCCTACGGTGGTTGCCTCGCCATAAACCTCCTTCGCTCCCCCAAAAACCCGTCCGCTCCACCAGGTGGGGTGGTGAACTCCCAGCCAAAATGTTGAAAATCTGGTCGATGGTAGGCTTTATTTGTGTCTTACAGAAACACCGGACTATAATTAACAGTCTGCATAGAAACAAAAGCAGCAGGAGGCTGAGAATGCCGAAGGTGCTGCAGGCAAGAAGAAGAAGAAGGTCACTGCGGCGCAATTACGCGTGCAACGAGGTAAGTGACTCTCCTGTGGTGAACAGTATACCCCTCACCGGTTGATTACTGGATCATTGCTATATGGATCTCTAACCTCTTCTGTCTTTAGACCTCCAAGAACTCACCCTGGGCAGCACGATGAAAATGTCTTTCCCGAACCCAGATGACATCCTCAACTTCACCTTGACCATCGAACCGGACGAGGGCATGTATAAGGGTGGTGTCTTCAACTTTAGCTTCGCCGTCAACCAGAACTTCCCTCATGATCCTCCCAAGGTTAAATGTACGCAGAAGATCTACCATCCCAATATCGATCTGGAGGGCAATGTGTGCTTAAACATTCTACGAGAGGACTGGAAGCCTGTGTTGAATCTGAATGCTGTCATTGTGGGCATGCAGGTCCGTTGATCTATTTCTTTTGACTGGTCATTACCTTCGCTGACTGGTTATTCCACAGTTCCTTTTCCTCGAGCCAAATGCGTCCGACCCTCTGAACAAGGACGCCGCGGAAGACCTTCGCGCCACTCGTGAAGCCTTCAAGAAGAACGTACGCAACTCCATGGCCGGCGGGTCCGTCCGAGGTATATCATTTGAGAGAGTGCTACGGTGAACGACAGCTAGGGCTTCACACTTGCAGTTTTTTTTCCCCCATCGGTCCCCGTATCCGGACTTCGCCCATACCCCACAGCGATGAGCAGGTACGGGATGATGATCTATGGTTTTACACATGGCGGAGACATGGTTCGGCAATCCCATGGGGGGTGCGCTGGTGTTTCCACGTACATATATCCGGCGTAATTAGCGTTTGACCACAATAGATCCAATTCGCTCATTCGATGGGTTCAGGCGTAGGGGTCAAGTAGATCGATCTGCGCGTTCGAGTGGTACTACGTAGCATGGCCTGCCATGACCAGAAAGAGTAAAGTCCAAAATCAAAACGGTTGGTTGTCCACAGGCGTATATGTACAATCGATCTCAAATCAAACCACCCACTCGTACACACCCGTCGATTCAATCAAGCCCGGAGGTGATGTCGAGACATGTGCTTCCATCACGGAGCGGTGTTCTAGATAACGCTTTGACAAAGAAAAGAACTGGCGCCGAACGGGCGGACTGGAGACGGTCGAGAGGTGGTCAGGGTTGATCGATTTAACCCCGCTGGGCAGCACGCTCAGCCTCAAGGCGGGCGTAGTAGGTATCGCGCTCACGCACGCGGGGGAGGTGGTAGCCTGTGGGACAAACATACGATTAGATTTCGAGACATCAATCGCGTGGGGTTGGCGCAGCCGGGGGTATGATCTACTTACCGTACCACCAGAGGTAGCCGAAGGTAGTACCGAAGCCTAGTGGATGAGATATCCTGATCAGCAACTGTCTCACTTGTTGGTCTCATCCCATCCATCTCTCTTGGTGTTTATATTTCATGTGGTCGCTCCCGAGAGGTTGCGATATCCAAATTGTCGTTTGATCATGCCACTCGATCCGGATCATAACTTACCGAAAGCGGTGCTCAGGTCCAGGACAAGACCACGGCGGAGCATCTGTAGACAAATATACCATGTCAGTAAATTATTGCGAACATATCTCAATTGACCTGATTAACCCGCTCGGGTTAACCCGGCCTTCAACGGAAGGGGCACGTACGCCGGTAATGGGGGGAATAGCGGCAGGCATTGTGACGAATAATTTGCGTCAATCGATGCTTGAGCAAAAGCAGTATAGGTTGCGGACAGCTTGAAACCTGCCTCGGACGTTGGTGGGGAGAGGAGAGGGGGGGTTAAGAAGGAAGGCTGATTTGTGAGGTGAAGTTGAAGCTTCGGAGCGGACTAAGCGAGCCGCCGGATTGGTCGGTCTTGCTATGAGAGCGAACGATGGCATGTTCATTCTCTTGCTATTCTAGGGGCTGCGAAATATGATTACAGATATATTTTCTTGTAATTTTTTATATACTGAATGAATCATTTATCCCAATGATATACATATTTTGCTCATTGGCACTATCTATGTGAATATCAATAGCAAGGTCACGGTAACTAGAGGAAGCCTTTGAGATGGAGGATATGTGAGATGAACGAGGTCTAGCTTGGTGGCAGTATTTGATCGTCGTCCTACCCCATCTACTCAAAAAAAAAAAAAAAAAAAAATAAAAAAAAATTTAAAACAACATTTGAAGCCATTCACATTGCTTCCTCTGAGTCTCCGGAGGTCTATGACAGCTGCTCATATACTCACCGCCCTCACCACGTGACTAACTCGATAACATTCATTGCCCAGGTGCCTGGTCGGTATGACTACTTCTCAATCACAACTAACACAATGGCTATGGCGACACCGGGCGCCCATGTTAAACGACCGTCTCCATCTATTGATCAGAACAATCCGAAGCGGATAAAGCGCCAGTATCATCACCACCATCGTTTACAGGAACCCGTGGTTCTCCCATCCACCTCTGAGCTGGTCGTGCAAGATGACACCCATCTCGACCAATTGATGAATCGTGCAGTCGGCCAGACTTTGAAGGACTCCGGATTTGACTTGGCCGATCCAGCTGCACTGTCAAGCCTCTGCAGTGCTACTGAGGAGTGTAAGTGACCTGATATTGCATCCATTTTGAGCTTGAATTGACGGGTTGCGCCCGAAATCTCTAGACATGCTACGACTCTCCACATTCATCCGCCAGTCCATGCTATCTGCGCGACGCGTCCAACCAATTCCGCATGATTTTGATCACGCTCTGAAGCGTTTCCGCCTCAATCCCGATGATCTGCTCCCTCATCTCAAATCAGCGCCATCAGACAAACCCTCACCGACATTATTACCATCTCCCCCACCAGAGAATGAAATATCCAAATCTCTTCCATTTCTAACGGCTTTGAGCAGCGAAGACGACCGCGCAAATCGTCCCTACATCCCCAAACATTTTCCGAGCTTCCCTAGCAAACACACCTATTCTGCCACCGCAGTTTTTATTGGACGAGACAACGACCCGCGCAAGATCAGGGAACGCGCTGCGGAGGATGGACGACATGGAGAGGAAGCTTTGCGCAAATTAGCGAGCGCCGCATTCCGCGACAACCAGACGGGCTCGACTGGCCGCGATAAGAAACTCTGGGGTCGGAGAACGGACAGCATGGAAAGCATGTTCGAAAAGATGATGAAGGGACTATCCAAAAAGCACGGCAAGGACTCTCACGGTACATTCCCTAGTTCAGCCATGGATATTGATTCGGGACACCCGGTGGATGCCGACAAGACCCGGCTCAAGCTTTCGTCGAATATGGAGTTGGGCCCCATCGTCAACTGTGAGCGAGATCTCTGGCGCCGGACAAGCTCGAATGCACGCCGAGGACAGGAGAAGGCTCCAAAGCCTCCCGCAAGCGTCGAGGCAGCGGATGTCATAATTGACATGTAAACTACAAGGCATAAGGCCTACCGGCGTTGTTTTTCTTTTTCCCCCACCATTACGGGCTGGCGCTTATGTTTTAGTTCAGGAGCATGACCTGAGGAGATACCCCATGGCAGTCATAAGCATTATTCACAATGCAACTTTTATTATTGAAACCTGCAAGTAATTGTAATCCCATATAGCCAACTCCGCCCAATGCGTATTCGTAATGCAAAGTAGTCCCTCTCATTGTTTCGTATTCGCTGCTTGCTTTTGTTTTGCTTCCTCTGCCAGCCTAATTGGCTCCCATGATGTTGTCTCAACCATTGACCCGCCGGCACAGCTACCAGAGATCAGCTTGTTATTTGACTTGAACTCGATGCTCCAGACTCACCGTCGGAACAACCGCACCACAGGCTCGCATACCACAACTCCTGGTTCGGGAACACCATTCTGTGGTGGATTGCAAGAGAATTGTGTCATTTCGAGTAACGGACAGTCCTTGAGGTTGATTTGTTCGCCTTTACGGCGTTTCTCTTGGAAGTTGCGGCGAACGGTATTGACATGATCGGGGAGGGAATCAGCGGAGAATATGGGGACGAGAGGAGCCATTGTGACTTCCGATTGTGAATATGAGATAATTAAACTTGAGTGAGGTTTGGAGGTCTTGTGTTTTGTGTTGTCGAAGGGAAAAGATTGGAACCTTCAAGGTTGGGAAGGTTGGAAGTTCGGAAGCTCCGTCAGCCGCCCTATTCAACTTTCCGCTCGCACGTCTACACCTTCTACACCTTCTAACCACTTTCCTCAAATCTACTTGCTGGACATTATACATGGTCAAAATATAGTGATGCCAGATCCATGACGCAGCCCATTGCTTACACATGGCAGCCAATCTCGGGGAGAGATCGCTAGCCGATGTACACCAAGAGGGACTAGATGAGGTATTGCAGCTTTTCCTATTTCTTTGAACGCGTTGAGTTGACGAGTTTTAGCTACTCTCTGGATTAACCCATTCTTTTCCTGGTCACTTAAGCCACGACACACATTTGTTAGGTGTGCCTGTCCTGGACACTTTGCTTGAAGTCTTTGCGCCGAAAGCACTTGCTGCGAACGATGGACACCCTCAAGCTCTAAGTGAGTCTGTAGAGCAGCAGAACATTGAAGATGAGGAAATGCTGCTGCACAGTGAGCTTCCGGCTGGTCAAGATTATAGGCCGGATGAATTACACGCAGCGCAAGACATTAACCTATCTGCCAATGTGTCGTCCTCAGACTTAGACGGTAGCAAGAATCAGCCGGTTCCTATCGTGGAGATCTCAAGCAGCCTGTCAGCCTCGGGAAAGTCCCAACTATTATACTATCTCACGGCTCTCGCTATCTTACCACGAAAATATGGGGACATCCCACTCAGTGGCCAAGAGTCAGCCGTGGTGTTCATAGATACCGACGACCGATTCGATGCCGAAAGACTAAGAACCGTGGCTCGAGGTATCGTGCTGCAGCAGCGAGGAATATCCGAATCAAGTATCGGACCTCATCTTGAATCATTGCTTGTCTCTTCACTACAGCATGTCCATGTGTTTCGTCCGCAATCTTCATCCGCTCTTTTGGCCACAATTCACACGCTAGAGTCGTACCTTTTCGATCTCTCACGACATCGTTCCGCATCACGTCCCTTACATATGATCGCCATTGACAGTGCCACCGCCTTCTTCTGGCAAGACCGGCTGCGTGACGAAGTCGCGCGGACTGAGGAAATTGGGCGCCCTCAGGCAGAAATTGATTCTGAGCGCGAGCAAAAGAAGAGGTTTCATTTGTCTGACCTCTATACCGAACTGGTGAGGGAGCTGAAGGCTCTACAGAGTCATTTCCAGTGTGCAATTGTATATACCGCAATGGTCGCGGGAGGTCGAGCTCCCAGCCCTGGCCACTACGGCCAGTTCCAGGCTCGTGTTCCATCGCTGAGACCTGCTCTCCCTGCACCCTGGGGCACTTTTCCAACATTGCGTCTGATTGCCCACCGGTCCTTTGTTCGCCCATTCCCTCCGAGTATGGCCGCCCATGCAGCCGTGAAAGATGCCGCATCACGGCAGAGCGTGGTTCAGCAAGGGAAGATATCGGCATGGGTCAATCCGTGGGGGCGTGATGAATGGCCTCGTCGCATAGTGGAAGCAATCGAGGCGACCAATGGTGGGAGCTTTTCATTTTACATCCGAGGCTCGGGGGTTGAGATGACCGATCCGGACCATTGAACGTTATATTTACGGTGTATACTCATTTATTCAATATCCTATGATCATGTAAACAGCTTGGCAATTGCCTCGACGGTTGTGTTGCCGCCGCTGAACACAACGCCAACATCCCATCCGTCCTTGCCACCCTCTTGTTCGACTCGTCGCCTGAAGTTCTCATCAAAGAGGCACACAGCTAGTCCAACCACTGCACTCGGCTCAATAACAACCTTCATGCGCTCTATAACCAATCGCATGGCTGACTTGATCTGCTCTTCGGTGACAGCGAATACCCCTTCTACCTTCTTCTTATTGGAGATGATCTCCCAATTGAGTAATCCCACGGGAGTGCGTAGCCCGTCTGCGATAGTGAGGGTTCCAACGGCTTCCACTCGCTTCCCAGCCTGCAGTCCGCGTCGACAGTCATCTGCACCTTCGAAGCTGGGCTCTGCACCGAACACGCGTGTCTGCTTATCCGAGAACCACGTCGCCACGCCGGAGTTGAGTCCCCCTCCACCAATAGGAGTGATGACCGCATCCAGGGTTCGGGACCCGGCTCGTTCAGCATGCTGCGCCTCCAGCTCCAACCCCGTTGTACCCTGCCCACAAATGACATTGAAGTCATCATATGGTGGCACGAGAATGGCGTTTGTCTTCGCCTGGATCTCTGCCACCACAGCTTCACGTTCTACACTTGTCGACCCGCTGAAGATGACCTCCGCCCCATGGGACTGTGTACCTGCAATCTTCGATGGCGTGCTGATGCGGGGCATCACAATATAAGCGGGAATCCCCAGGGTCGAGGCAGCGAGTGCGAGGGCTTGTGCATGGTTTCCTGAAATCGAGAGCATTCAGCATGTATAATCTTGACTTGCGCAGCAGAAAGAATATCAGAAAAATACCAGAGCTATGTGTGATCACCCCGCGCCGCTTGATTTCCTCCCCGCGCTCCTCCAACAGTCGCAGTAATGCGTGGAATGCACCCCGCGCTTTGAAGGCGCCGATACGCTGAAAGTTCTCGCATTTAAAGAAGAATCGAAATTGTGGGCGAGTGGGAGTTTGGCCTTCGAACGGCGTTCCGACTAAGGCTTCGACGGATTGCGGTGTTGAGGCGATGGTATCGAGTGTTTTGCATGTCAGCAGTGGTGTACGGTGCACATGGGGTTGGATGAGACCATATGCCGCTTGAATTGCGGCTGGAGTTAGCGATTGAGCTGCAACAGCGGGTGAAGTCATATTTGCGGATTGTATAAGAGGGTGAAGAAGGGAGAACAGCGAAGTAACAAGGATGACTCTTATCTTACCCCGGACTATTCTCCGAGCTTCGGCGCGGGGTTACTAGCTGCAGGTAGGTACATACAATCTATACAATCTACAAGAGGAAAAGAAAAATAAATTAAGTAACTGGGGAATTGGCCGGTAAAGCCTCAAAATAATATTTTCGACCTGAAACCCAAAAAGAACAGTTCATAGTACATCATCATTTTTTGAACCCCCACGGGTATCAAGGTATTATTTATTTCTGGTTCTCGGGGCGGAGAGAGCGGACGGCCTTTCCGGCGCGCCAGATCTCGAGATCACGGATCTCCTGCATCTCCTTCTCGTACTTCTCGCGGTAATCGGGCTGCGAGTTGTAGTCGAGGGAGCGCTGGGTCTCAGTGCCGTTGTGGACGCTGTCGTAGAGGTCGTTGAAGACGGGCTTCAGGGTGTCCTTGAAGCGGCTGGACCAGTCAATGGCACCGCGACGGGCAGTGGTGGAGCAGGCAGCGTACATCCAGTCCATACCGTTACCACCGATCAGGGGGTACAGGGACTGGGTGGCCTCCTCAACGGTCTCGTTGAAGGCCTCGGAGGGGCTGTGACCACGCTCACGGAGAACCTCGTACTGGGCGAGGAACATACCGTGGATACCGCCCATGAGGCAGCCACGCTCACCGTAGAGGTCAGAGTAAACCTCCTTTTCAAAGGTGGTCTCGTAAAGGTAACCGGAACCGACGGCGACACCCATGGCGATGGCGCGCTCCTTGGCCTGACCGGTGACGTCCTGGAAGACGGCGATGGAGGAGTTGATACCACGGCCCTCACGGAAGAGAGTGCGGACGGTACGGCCGGAACCCTTGGGGGCAACGAGGATGACATCAATGTCCTTGGGGACATCGACCTTGGTGAGGTCCTTGAAGACGGGAGAGAAACCGTGGGAGAAGTAGAGGGTCTTGCCCTTGGTGAGGAGGGGCTTGATGGTGGGCCAGGTCTCGGACTGGGCGGCATCGGAGAGCAAGTTCATGATAACGGTACCCTTCTCAATGGCGGTGGTGACATCGAACAGGTTCTTGCCGGGAACCCAGCCATCCTGGATGGCCTCCTTCCATGAGGCACCATCCTTGCGGACACCGACGATAACGTTGAGACCCTGGTCACGGAGGTTCAGACCCTGACCGTGACCCTGGGAGCCGTAACCGATGAGGGCAAGGGTGTCGTCCTTGAAGAACTCCTGGAGCTTCTCACGGGGCCAATCGGCACGCTCGTAAACATCCTCCTTGACACCGGCGAAGTCAATGGTCTTGATACCACGGACGGGGGTAACAACCGAGGAGACACGGGGAAGGGCGGCAGCAGCAGCGAGGGCAGGGCGAGGGAGAGCTGCGGTAATGACCGAGCGAGGAGCGGCCGCGCGGGCAAGGCGGAGGGCACGGGGAAGACCACGAGAAGCCATTGTGAAGATATGGAAGAGAGGAGAGTGGAGAGTGAAGGAGAAAGGGAGAAGTTGGACTGGGGAAGCTTGGGAATTTAAATAATGGGCGAATATGGCTGGGCGATTCGAGTCACCGTAGCAATTCTCGGAGAGCAGACCTTGCTCCCCGGAGACCCCACACCGACACCGGCCGCTGTATTGATTGGAGGAGGATCATTTATTATGTCATGAATTGCGTTTCCCAGTGCGACAAGCATATTTGGTAGGAGATCACATATTATTTTTTATGACTCGAAAATCTTTATAAGTTTCTTTCCCCGGAGTAGGAACAATCTCCGGGATATTAGAATGTTATCAAAAAGGAAAAGTGAAATCCTCCGTAGAGGGTCAAGACTCTTCTGTTTATATTTCAAACCACGTGATGACATTCGTACCTGCCTCGACTTCTCTTTTTTGAGTCGTTCCTTCCCGAAAAAAAAAGTACCATTTCTGCCTCAGGCCTCATCTACAATGTCTCTCCGCCCCTCACCACTTCATATCCACTGAGATTGTTTGGTCGGTCCAATTACTTTCTCCTGTGTCTCTCCTGTGTCTATTCTTTGATCGTACCATGTCTATAGGATGAGTGTCTTCTCATTTGGGGATTTACCCACCATCCAGACTAGGAAGGCCTTGTTACTACTTGACTTTCAAAATGACTTTGTCCGTTCGTCCGGGGCTTTACATATCCCCAATACATCGGATATCCTCGAAAATCTCCCGCAGCTAGCATCTGCATTCCGTCGAGTCGGTGATGTAGTTTGGGTGCGGTCACAATATGCATCTCCTCAGACCATTGTTGACTGGAATTTTGGTGATCGCATTGTCCTGGACAGAGAACCACCGCGCAGAAAGGAGATGCCCACCTCGGATATAATTGAAGTCAGGTCAGATCATGATTCACCAGAACCGGTTGACCGTGAAGCTTTTCTCTCCACCGACTCTTCGCTATGCTGTGACCCGCATACCCCCGGATATCAGTTCCCCGCGCCGATTCTAGCCGCCATCAACCAGCATGACACCGTAGTGGACAAAACAGGATACTCTGCACTGGAGTCCCCCGGCCTGGTGCTATCCTTTAGGACACGCTTTGTGACTGAGTTGTACCTTTGTGGTTCGTTGTCCAATGTCTCTGTGTTTGCGACGGCTTTGGATGCTGTCCGCAATGGGTTTGCAGTCACCCTTGTGGAGGATTGCTTGGGGTTCCGTGATTTTCAGCGGCATCAAGAAGCAATGCGACGCATGGCGGATATCCTGGGAGCGACTGGTATCACCGCTCGGGAGCTCATTCAGGAGCTAGATTGGGATGAGACTGAGGCAATTGCACGCCAAGGCGCACCGCAGCCAAAGAGGTCAGCAGCTGAGGCTGGCATCGAGAGCGTCATGGATGGTCTGGAATTTTGGAATACTGCGGACACCTCTCCCACAGATAACCCACGCGAGCCAGAAGATCCCAGCCTTTCGGAACTCGCTAGTCTTTCTCGCGCACAACGCCCTACCGCCGCACAGGCGCGGGGTCCAGTGGAGGACCAAAAGAAAGTGCGCGTGCGCGCCCGTCGTCCGAAGCGCCGAGACACCCCAAAAGAATCTTCAACTGGACCTCGCGCTGACCACGACGGGGGAATAACACCTCTGCAATCCGCGGAAATACCAAATACATCCCAAACCAACATCGGGGAGGGCGACTCGCGCCTCGTGACCAATGTCAACCTGGCCGAAGACTCCTTTGGTCGTATACAGGCGGAGGTAGATTGGCAAAAGATGTACCATCTGTCGGGCCAAGTTCCCCGATTGGTTGCAGTCCAGGGTCAACCTCGACCAGATGGAGCCATACCTATATATCGTCATCCGGCGGACGAGTCTCCACCCTTCGAGCCACTCACCCCCACGGTTGATGAAGTGCGCATGGCGGTTGAGCAAATACTAGGCCACCCCTTGAATCATGTACTTATTCAGCTTTATCGAGATGGGCAGGATCGCATATCAGAACACTCAGATAAGACACTGGATATTGTGCGAGGGTCTTTCATTTGCAATGTCAGTCTAGGTGCCGAGCGTGTGATGGTCCTCCGTACGAAAGCGTCAGCATCGGAGCCTGAGGGAGGCACCGGACCATGCCGAACAACCCAGCGCGTGCCTCTTCCTCACAAGTCACTTTTTGTGCTCGGCCCAAAGACCAACATGCGATGGCTTCATGGCATCCGGGCCGACAAACGGCCTGATGTAACCAAATCTACCGAGGAGCAAGCCTTTGGTGGTCAGCGAATTTCCCTTACTTTCCGTCATATTGGCACTTTCATCGACCCTGTGGCCAATACAATCTGGGGACAGGGGGCTGTCAGTAAGACATTGGACCGGGCTCGCGCCGTGGTCCATGGGGATCCTACCGAAACAGCACGCCTCATTGGTGCATTTGGCCAGGAAAATCGTGGCACCGAATTCGATTGGGACGCCGTGTACGGTGGGGGATTTGACGTGGTCAACTTTGTGACTACATCACCAGGGCAGCTAGTACTTGGCTGTGATATTGTGGCCAATTTACGTGTGCGTCTCTGTCTGGGGGAAAGCGGCGTTCGATATCGATTGATCACCAACCATGAGCTGGGAGCTAGAGATAGTGGCGCAACTACACTGCCCATATATGAAGCGCCTGATGGAGCAACAATCGCGGGCGACTCTGTTATACTAGCGCACATGGCCAACCGGTCTGCTGATATCTCACGGCCAGGTGGAGATTCGTTACGTGGGGGCAATTTCTTCTCAACGATTGACCAGTTTCTGAGACACTGGCGTCAGCACTGTGCCACCAATCCAGCCTGCCGGTTTGAATATGGGCTTGAGGATTGGGAGCGTACTTTGCAGGGCCAGCATTACCTAGGGGGCTCCGTGTTCACCATCGACGATTGCTCTCTATGGCCAATTCTACGGGATATTGTACAGAACCAAGGTCCATTTGATGCTCGGTTCGTGAGCGTGAATCAATACTATCACCGAGTCGAGAATCGGGGCATCGTTCGATCTATTTTGGAGGAATAAAATCGGACCGACTGTGATTTTGTGTCCGCAAGAAAGCTCTTTCAACGACAGCTTTTGTATTTGTTCGTGTCTTAGCTATGGACATATTACGAAACCTTACGAAATTCTCTGGCCATGAGCCAGACTGGTTGAGGCCCAGTCTACAATTACTTTTGGATATAGTTGTGCCCAATCTGCTACCTCGCTCTACACAAAATAAGCTTAGATTGTATAGGTACCGTACATCTGTCCATTTAGAGACACGAACCAGGGAAAGAGGTGGTGCTCAGAGAATTCTTCAGATCAACATCCCCACAAACAACAGCCTTGAAAAAGGCCTGAGCCACTACCGACGCACCGGTAGGACTGGTGTGCGTGTGGTCCAAGGGGAAGTACGCATCGACAGCAGTCAGACCGAGCTTCTGAAATTGGTCTGCCACATAAGCCCCGTGATCAACATAGGGCACGCCGGCAGCAGCAGCTGCCAACTCCGCGTAGCCCACAAACCGCGACGGGGTATAGGTGAAAGTTCCAGTTTCCCAGGGGTTGTTGGGCGTTTGACTGGAGATGATCACATTGGCGCCCTTGGCCTTGAACGTCTTGGTGGCATTCTCAATATATGCCGGGAACGTCAACACTGTCTCGGCGACCCCATTGTAGGTTGTGCTACAGGTCTCGCTGCCTGTGCCAGAACAGTCGCTACGCCCATTATCGGTGGTAGTCAAAGAGCCACCATCGTTGTGTCCGAATTCGATGACCACCCAATCTCCAGATTTAACCACGGCTGCAATGTCATCGAACCGACCTTCACGCGTGTATGACCGTGCGCTACGGCCGCCGACAGCTTGGTTGGAGACGGTGAGTGAGGTATAGGGCGTAACATATTCACCCCAACCTGGGAGTATTAGCATGATGTTATCCTGGAGGCTGAATGAGAGAATACACATACCCTGGGTGCTGGATCCAGTCCCGCCCTTTGCCATAGTCGAGTCACCAGCAAGGTAGATGGTGGCCAGCGCACTAGGGATGAGGGCGGAGAGAAGAATAGCAGATTTCATGGCGAAATAAATATAGAGCAAGTTCTAGTGAGGAGACTTTTATTATATGTTGTTTAGGGAATTGACAGTTTCTTCGAAATTATATATATTTTTTAGGCCATGCTCAACAATAGCTTGGATACGTGGAAAAAGAGTGACGTTCTCGGCGGGGTATACATTGTCATTGTCGAGTTTCATTGTTGTTTCGGAGAAAAAGGAATGAAACCTGCAGAGAAATGCGGAGACCCGTTGATCGTCGGTTCTGATTCATGGAAACTCATTAATAGGACACGGACAGGAAATAAATAAGGCTTGGTAAACCGGGAAATTATCCTAAAATAGCCCATATGTACCGGACATACTCCCTGAGCAAGATCAGACGTGACGATGGTGATATTCCTTGGCAGGTGTCACAGAAGTTTCTATATTAGTAGACAACTCCGTATATGTTTTATATACAGCGGGAAATAGTGAATTTGCCAATCACAACTTCTCGAATGTTGGAGTACGCTTTTGCAACCCAGACAGGAGAGCCGCCGAGACATCTTGAGTCTGCAAAGCAGCGCTATTCCACACACTGGTATAGCGCAGTCCATCTTGTATAGAGTGATCACGCGAGAAGTTCAAGATCTCCTTGGTGCCTTGCACAGCCACGGGACTCTTGCTAGCTATCAGAGAGGCGAGCTTAAACGCAGCCGCAATAGTAGCTTCACGATTATCATACACCGCATTAACGAACCCCACACGCAGCGCCTCGTCAGCACCGAACTCGCGCGCCGTCAGAGCAACCTCCTTGACCCACCCGTAATTTCCAACCACCTTGGGGAGTCGGCTGAGGGTGCCAATGTCTGCCGCGAGCCCGATATCGACTTCCTTGACGGCGAACCGCGTATCGCGCGAACAGAGACGCACATCCGTCGCCGTGGACAGGTCAATACCGAGTCCCAGTGAGAACCCGTGAAGAGCAACTATAACGGGCTTTTCGCAGCGCTCTACCGCGCTGATACAGTCCTGGAAGGCGGTGATATGCCGACGAAAGACGGCTGCCTTTCGGGCTGGGTCGGCCTTGGCGTCTGATGATAGAAGGCCCTCCGACGCCGCTTTCACATCCAATCCGGTGGTGAATGCCCTCTCTCCAGCGCCGCTGAGGACGATGGCGCGAACGCGAGGATCAGAGGAAAGCCTGTTGAAGATCTGGGCCATATTTTCCCACATACTAGATTTGATTTGATTTATTAGAGAATATATAAGGTCAAAGTCTGGGTTAGTGCTCACACTTCGATGAAGGCGTTCAACCTTCCTGGGCGATTGATTTCCACATGGGCCACATATTGATGATCAGTGGGAAGTTGGATGGTAAAATATTCGAAAGAGTAGTCGTCAGCCATATTTTAGAGGGAAAAATGAATGCTTCTGGAGTTTGAGAGAGAAGGAAGAGGGAGAGAGAGAGTTGGGAGTATAAGGGGACTGTTGTTAAACAGCGGCGGACCTCGGCACTGGAGTAAAACGTGAGCAACAACCGAATGTCAATTTTGAATGTCTTGGAATATCTTTAAGATGTCTTCTAAAACTATATGACCTTTATTTATTTCTGAATGTAATTCTAGGTATAGTTCCATTTTCCAAAAAGAAAATTATACTTGACATTATATTTGGCGTATCAACTTAGGATTTGCATGTGCCGAGGGCCCGGACCATGGATATATATATATATACGGTATAGATATGATATATATCCAAAAGAATTAAGACAACATTATGGCATAAAAGAAAATACGGATATGGGGAAAAGTTACAAGTTCTGTCCAGTACCATTGGTAAAAAAATGGTAGCTCCTGTGGGGACGTGAAGGAAATGACTCTTCACTCAATGGTGATCTTCTTGGAAGTAGCGACAGCGGTCTTGGGTACCTTTATGGACAGGATGCCATGCTTCAAACTGGCCTTCACATTGTGCTGATCGACAGGAGTCGGAAAGGAAAAGACGCGCTGGAACTCGCCGACTGAGCGTTCGCTGGCCCAGAACCGGTGAGTGGGTTTAACTTCGTCTGTATCGTTGCCTTCCTTGATCTCGGCCGGTGACTCAGAATGGTACTCGCGTTCAGTGTGGCCCTTGACAACTAGAGTCTGGGGGTCGGAGAACTCGATATCGATGTCCTTCTGATCGATGCCAGGTAGTTCACCATCGAAATGGTATGCATCTTCACTCTCACGGATGTCAAAGCGAGGAGAGAAAGAGCGAACTGCAGTCCGGTTGCGGGAAGAGCGGTGGTCATCGTAGTCATCGAGCAGACGGAAAAGAGGAGCGAAGTCACCAGAGCCCGGGAAGTTGGCACGGAGAAGAGACATGTTGTAAGTTGGAAATTGGGTAGTTTGAAAGAAGTGGTTTTATATTGAAGCTGATTGAAGCTGGGAGGGTATATGAACAAGGGGTTTACTAATTCACCGGAAACCAGGTGCCCTTACACAGGAATATAAAACAGGATAGCGTGTAGCCTGTTGTTGACATCTCGATGGTCACGAGTTGTTGTCTTATGCAATAGAGCGTAATTGATTGATTGCAATGTATGTGTTTACGAGCGTGTGGCAAGTGTCATGAATGTCACTCTTCCAAGATCATTGGAGAGTGACATGCTACACTATATACATTGTCCATGGTTATATCTGCCGGAGTATTGGTTTATCCGGTATTTTGGATGATGTGCCTCGCCTACATTCGATCACGCCACACGCCTCTTATTCATTGCAGGGTACTACTAGTCAGCACAGCCTGAAGCTGGGATACACAGCATTGTGAAGTATAATCAGCCTCGATGGGTTGCACAGTCTCCAACCCCCCCCTGTCTGAGAGTAGTCCGCTATTATTGAGAGTGTTCTCCATGCAAAGTGGCCAGGTACTCATCGGTCGGAGGAAGAGCGGATGATTGAGGTGACCAGACTGCATTTAACCATTGGATACCGATGAAATCATGACACGATCCTTCGTAGCAAGTGGTGGGAGTTGGGCACATTCACGATAGTGTGTTGCGAGTGCGTTGTGGACTTGGATATGAGAACCGTTTGGTTTTGCGTCGCGTGTGTAGACATCGCGTCCAGTGCCAAATAGCTGGTTATAACCTATTCAGATTCAGATTCATCCAGCTGCATGATCTTCTCGTCAAGGTCCTGTCAAATCTGTGAGTAATGGCGCTAGGAGAATCCCGCAATAGCTAGGGTGTAGTAGGTACCTGATCCAGGCGAACCTTGAGGTTCTGTAGCTGGCTCTCCTTGATAACAAGGTGATTTTCGTCATCCAAATCCTCCACTATGTAGTCATGTCGCTCTTCGTCGTACTTCAGGATCATGGATTTGATCGAGGGATCGCATTCAATCAGTAGACCTGCCGAGGATACAAAATGTTAGCAAGATATGCGAGGAAGCAAGGGACAAAGAGGAGCTGACCTCGGACGGCGCGTGGCATCTTGAAGAAGAGAAGGAGGTGTGGAGAGAAGAAGAAGGAGTGAAATGTGAAATGAGGAGAAGTTGGAGATACCCGTGCCAAGACATTGGTCCCTTATCTTTAAATTTTCCCTACTCCGTACAAGTTATAGTATGCCAGCAAGATTCCAATCCCAGGCCTTCCAAGGTTGGTCCGTAAGCTCATAAGCATCTATGTCCCTCCTTCCTCTACACTCATGTCCCATATATAGGTAGTTCCTGCCTATTTGTTCCGTTTGTTTACTTCTTCCTCTCACCTCTTCCTTCTTCTCTCTTCAATCCTCTCCTCTCTCCATCTTCTCTTTAATCCCCTCTTTCCCCTTGTTTCCATCCACTTCTTTATCCATGCATATTCCTATGGGTTCTCCAACTCATCTTTTATTCCCAGGTTAGCGGGAAAGGCACATCTGATGATACAGTCATCAGGAGTTCTGAATGCTTACACTTTGACGAGTATATGATCACCTCCATCATCCAGCCAACGTTCTCAGATGATATCTTTGGCTTTAACCAGTGCTCCGTATCTACCTGGGTACCCGCGCCTTGAACAACCATCGGTAAAGCGATGCCACCAGCGAATTCGGAATAGTTGAACAAGCAACTCGACCTTCTCGCAGAACTGCAGAGTCTCGCTTATGCACCGGACTCGGATTTAGAGGAAAAATGATAAAGCTCCCGTTCTTACTAATTAATGGCCACTTAAATGCTGGCATAACAACTGAAGAGCGGGTACTATTGCACAGGCTTATAGTCAGAGGGCGATCAAAGTCCTCGTGGCCACATGCAGTCTTGCTGCTGGCGTAAACCTCCAGGCGAAGGCGGTTATCAGCCAGAAAAAAAAACCGAAAGACTGGGGTCTATAGGGCAACAAAAGAGCAGCAGTTTCGATAAATCCCGGGGACAGGTGAAAGCCCTTGAAGACGGGAAACCACCGATATCACTGGAGCAAATCACTAGGGGATACGGCTATGGCGCTTCGAAAAGTATGATTACCGATGTTCTCGATAAACTTATCAATCCGAGTCGAGCATAGATGGGCAAGAGTCTTCAATCCCAACCAAACGGCCGCGCTCTTCCCCCAAGGTCTATCGCAATATCAAAGAAATTCCGGGATTATAAAAATGGTTATCTTCTCGCAACCAAAAAGAACCAGTATCATCCAGAAGAGACTCGTTGAAGGCTCACAGCAGCCAAACATCTGTTCATCCACGCCTTTGCCCCCTCCCAACTGGTCAATATGCCACCAGTACCCCGGTCTTTTCACGGGATAAAGTGGAACGACGACAGACCTTCACCGATGAGGCCCAAAGGCACCGCAGGAAATTTGGAACAAACAATATTGTGGAAACAATCATGTCTTCACAACCAATAATCCAGACAACCAAACTCTATCTACATCATCCACTGATCAATCCCCATACTCGGCATCAACGAATCCAACCCACTCCACTGCTCGATCGAATAAGCCATTTGAAACATCTCCTGCATCGGCATCACATAAGAAGGATCAAAAGCAGACGCATCTGACATGAGACGATCAAGCCACTCAGATCCGATCTCATTTGATTTTAAGTTCTCAATAGGCGCTCCGTCCAGTCCGCCAGAGCCTGCGACTGAACCCTGAGAAGCTGAATAGGATTGTAAGAGGAAGTCTATTTTGGGGGCTAGGGTGCGCAGGATTCTGGCAGCGCTAGTCGCGACTCCGAAGCATTCGCTGAACATGTCGAATATAGCAATGGAGAGATCGACGGCTTGACGGGCATCGGAGACTAACTCGTTGTGCGGGTTTGCGAGGACGAAGCCGACGATGGTCATAGATGCGTTCCATTGCCATTGGAAAGATTCATGCCAGCCATGTAAAATTGTTGTTGATGAAAGCGCTTGATGTGTGATGCTGGTAAGTGTAACTGCGTGAAGAGCGCATTTAGTGGCTAGCTCGCGAGTCAAAGCTGACTGGCGACCAGGAATGAAGGAAATAAAGGGACGGTAAGCGTTAAGGCATAATGTGTGGTATAGAAGCTCCAAATTTAAGCGTTGGCGTTGGAGCCATTCGGGCGCAAATTGCTCAAACTCCATTTGAGAACCGTCTGTCGAGAAGATTGCGCCATTCCCTTTTCTTTTCGTCTTGAGTGAGGTAGGCACTTCCTCTCGCCATTGATCCATTCTGGACGTCTGAGATTGCAGATACTCAGCGTGAGACCCGAGTATCTCCGGGTTGTGCCAGATAGACTGACCCTCCGGAAGGTTTAAATCCCTGGAGTAAAAAGCCACATGAATCTCCTTGGCAATGGTGAAAAGCTTGACGTCGTAAAGATGGAAACTGAGCCAAGTCTTATTCCCCCAAGGGGAGTAAAGCGGGACCCCGACTGCATGGCAGTGTCAGGTTTGTCATCAGGAAGTCTGGGCTCGATAGAAGATCGGTGAAGGGTGAATGGACGTCCAAGTTTCATTCCAATTTTGGCATCCAGCTGGTACAGAGCCCACCATAAGCGCCTGCGCAATTCACGCTCTGGTTCGGGCATTGACGAGGGGGGATCCAGATGAAGCCCGACAGTATAGGCAGCTCGAGTTGCACTACCGCAGGCATCGGCTGACATGTTTTGAAATGATCCATTGCACAAGTAGATAGCGCTGAGTAGGAAACACTGCACGGTTGATACTGTTGGGCTTTCCAGATAGTAGTTTGACATCACCTGGGCCCGTCGGAAATACCATCGACCAGCAATGCTGGGGTCGCAGTCAGTGGATTTTTGTTTCTCTTGTGCCATGCGGGATACTCCGTATTGCATGGACAAAGCGATGATGATGTCCACGAGAGCGCATGGTGTCCTTGAATCCCCGGAATCGTTCCATAGAGAGCGATACTGATCCATAAAGTCGGTTTCATTGATTACTGGGAACAGAGATGTGTGATAGGACTTCCAAAATAACTCAAGAAAGTATTCTTCCTGTGTTGGACTCAGAAATTGCCCTTTGGACAATGGGGAGTCGCCTGAAAGAGCGGCGTGTGTCGAGTCTTCTGGAGTGTTGATGGTGTCAAAGCCAAGTAACGCAGTTGCGCTTTCATGAAGAACCATATCTTTGGCCGACCCGGACTGTCCCTGGTGAAGACTCGAGTCTATGTAGCTATTCATACGACCGATGAAGCAAAAGAGCGATGACGGCCCGTACCAAGATACGTTCGGAGAGCGTGCGGTGCCAATCTCGATCCCTTCCCATGGCTTCTGAGCCATAAGGTCACTTTCACCTGACCTTTTCTCCGATCGAGGCTCTGGCGGGGAAGTATTTGTGCGACTAGACACATATGGAGAGCCACCTAAAGAGGCTTGCTCGGGTGGACTCCAAGATGAGCTCACGGTGGAGCTTGCTTGATACTGGGTTTTATACCAGGCCAGCTCATTTTCTAGATCTCTGACATGTACCTTGAGTCTCTCAGATTCTCTATATCAGTGTTTAGGGTTTACTCATAAATTCACAAATAGCTATTCACGTATCTTCATACCTTAATGCTTGGGGTAATGTCTTCGTTTCATCGACGCCTGTCTGGGCACATGGCTCATCTCTTTGAATACATGCTCTACATGGTCGCTGATTATCGCACTTGGATCTTCTAGCGCGACACCAGTCGCAAGCCCGAGAGACTTGCTTTCGAAGGGGTTTCACTCCGGCACCTGTGCCGGCTGATGCCGGCTTGTTTCGCAGTGAAGCGGTGTTCATGATAGATCCAAACCCTGCTCAAATAGGTGGTAGCCATTAGGCAGTCGAGTCACACATGAATGGCCTTGTTGGCCTGGAATTGTGCAGACACGAAGAGAGTGAGAGTGAGAGTTGCCCCGAAAGGTCGAAAGGGTGTGGGGGATGTGGGGCCGCCTTTATCCCTGATTGGTGGGATGTCAGCTGACCCTTGTCCGGAGTATACATGTAGATTGTTCAGGTCTTCTTCTTCTTCTTCTTTCTTTCTATTCTACAAGGTTCTTCTGCTTGGTAAAAGCTATTGTTACGCGGACCGAGGTACTGCGCTCTCTGCAAAGCCTGGATGACCCAATAGGATGCACTTGGACTTGACTACCTAGAAACCTCAAATGGATGGATGTAACTAATGGAGTAAACCATCTACGTATCGACATGATTTGAAAATTTGACATTAAACATTAATCCAATGTTGAGCCTGCGATGAATATATGTAATGAAAAATTGACCCCTGCCAATTCCAAGGATTAGGCCAACTTGTCTATTCTTTCAAATGCAAGACTGCGATGTAATGCTGTTTTAAAATGAATTCGTATCCAAGTGTCACCGGCTCTTTGCCCTTTGTGCAAGTCGTTGCCTTGACCAAAATGCTTTCATGGTGTCAATTTATGTTCACTTAGTCATAGTGTGGACGGCGTTCGGCGGGCCTTCAAAAATTCCGGGCTGAAGGGATAATCATTGTAGCCCTCCCACTGCTCGGGGAAGTAAAATGTTGCGCGGTTATAGTGGGCAAGAGGAATGCCGTGTTGGATCCTGAAGACCAGATCCGGATTGGAAATGAAATAGCGACCAAAGGCAACCATCACATCCCACTTCTTGTAACGCGTCTCCACTGCTCGAGCAGCAGATTCAGGCTTGTAGCCACCTGCCACCATGACAGGCGAGTAATTGTCCCAGACATCAAGAATAAAGTCTAGTGTCTTGCCAACATTAATCGCCTTTTCGTCTAGAAGCAAAGCCCCGGGGTCACCAGCTGCTTCGACTAGAGACAAGTAGGCGAACTTGACGTTCATCTTTTTGAGCTCGGTGATGAGATGAGTGTACAGCTCAACGGAGTCTGTCTTCTCGGAGCCTTGGAATCCGGCGTAGGGGGAAAAGCGGATGGCCACCTTCTCTGCACCGATCGCCTTGACAACGGCCTTTACAACTTCAAGTGTCAATCTGGATCGGTTCTCGATGGATCCGCCCCACTTATCCGTGCGCTGGTTCACACTAGATGTGAGGAACTGGTCGAGCAGATAACCGTGAGCAGAGTGAATCTCGACTCCATCTGCACCAGCAGCGATGACACGCTCAGAAGTCTCCACGAAGCTTTGGATGGTCTCCAATATCTCTTCTTCAGTCAGAGCATCTGGGGTAACATCGACGCCTTTCATGGGCACCGCACTGCTAGACCTGTATGGGAAACCGCGTTTAGCGAGAAGCCCCGGATCAGATGCTCTTCCCATACCCCAGATTTGCTGGAAATAGAAAGAGCCATTGGCGTGAACTGCATCAATGATCTTGCTCCAGGCTTTAACCTGGGCATCACTCACGAAGCCCGGGTTGTTGGCCTGGCCTTCCTCAATATGGGAAATCCCTGTTGCTTCGGAGATAACAAGGGTTCCGGGGACAGAGCCACGATCCGCATAATATTTCTCCATCAAAGCAAGGGGAGTATGGTTGGCATCATTGCGGAGCCTGGTCAAGGCAGGAAGGACGATTCGGTTCTGTAGTGTGATGTTGCCGACCTTCAAGGGCTTGTAGAGTCGGGTTTTGGAGGGAACGTATTCCGACACAACGTGTGGACTCATTCTGCTTGGATGTCCAAATATTTTTGGTGATATAGGAGTCTTGAGATGACAGGAAACGAGCCAGGGGGATTGTTCAGTTGCCAGGTAGACGGTTTTTTGGAGGGGTAACTTGGAAACATGCTGGGAGTTATAAATAATCAGAGTCGGGCTAAATTACACCAAAACAATATGAGAATGTCTCCGAAAAGTTATTAATCGTCCCGTTAGATGGGAGTGGAATCCGGAGTTTCGGAGCAGGAGGAGCGTGGCTTACGAGCCCGACTCCACTCCTCCGGGCTACTCGGGGGTACTCGAAAAAAAAGCTCCGGTGTACCCGCCAAGTCTGCTTATATCATCATCCAATATTGAGTATCCCTGAGGTCCAAAACCTGGGACAGACCCAACTTCATTTGATTATATAATATACATTTAGTTCAATCATACCAACCCTTGGCGTAGCCCCATACTACGCTAAAATACACCATAACTACTTAGTATATCTATTTATACTCTACTAATTTTTAGTATGTTGTATTTTCCGGCCGTACGTTATAGTAGTATAGACGTTTCGGTTTTCTCTACCCTAGGGACGCTCCCGCTCCGGCGTTCGCTCGGGGGTCCGCCCCTAGGACCATAAACGCTCCTTCTATATTATGAAAATAACCCTCGTTAGGTTCTCTAGTAGCCTTCTATTATGGTAGTATTAGCTCTATTATATAGTTATATTGTATATAAAAGTGTTAATACCCTAGTTATATTATAGGTTCTACTAGTAAGAAATAAAGGAGGCGGTATGATTAATTAGGAAGGCGGTAGTAAAAGGGTATTAATACTTTTACGGAGTCACCTGACTATAGAGGGTAAAGAGGGTAAATAGAAAAAGAAGACTATGGTTATATAATCATGTGCAGCTCCTGGACACTCAATATTGGATGATGATATAAGCAGGCTTGGCGGGGACGCCCCCGAGCTGGAACCCGTACTCCTGTCATGTCATGCACTATATATATCGGAGCCTGGTCTATCTGAGCGTAATGCTCAGATATAGTGGTCTTTTGGCCTAGTTTGTAACTCGCCAGTCCAGGGGCAGGTTGTAACAACTCCGACAACTCAGTCGTCCGCGACTCCGCGACTCCGGAACTCCGGAACTCCGGTCTTTTACTTCTTTACATATCAGACATTCACATTATTCGCTGACCCATGAGCCTGGAACATAGCGCTTAACGTCTAGTGCTTATCCACATCTCAACTTCATCTACTCTAGATTGTGGTCCTTAGACTTCCGCAGGTGTATGGTTGCAAGCGGACCTCCGGAGGCCTTACTGACATTTTGGTCTTCAGCTCGTCAAGAGCCTCGTACAAATAGATGAACACTTCTTTAGCAAACATTCCTCACCATAAAAGCACCCCGAAAGCATTCAAAACATTCAAACCCTCAGCCTCGAAAGCGAAAAGGTAATCTTCTTTTATATCTACTCCCACCTTTAGAGCGACTTGCTCCAGTTTTAATACTTCATCAACCAACTCAACAAGATGCCTGCCCGTAAAGCCCTGATTTCCATCACCTCTGCTAGTGCCACTCTCTTCGATGGCAAAGAGACTACCGGCCTTTTCATTGTCGAAGCCCTGCACCCATACAAAGCCCTTAGCGCGGCAGGCTTCGAAGTCGACTTCGCCTCCGAATCAGGCAGCTATACTCCTGACTGGCTCTCCCAGCAGCCCGACTTCCTGAACGGCGAGGACCTTGAGATCTGGAACAACCTCAATAGCGAGTTCCGCAAGAAGCTCGACAATATGTCCAGGGCCTCCGAGCTCGACGGGTCTAAGTATGGCTTGTTCTTCGCGTCCGCTGGCCATGCTTCTCTGATCGACTACCCCACTGCCAGTACCTTACAGAACATTGCCGAACAAGTTTGGGCTAGCGGTGGTATTGTTGCATCTGTCTGCCATGGCCCTGCGATCTTTACCAACCTGCTTGACCGGACCACTGGAAATCCTCTGATTCAGGGAAAGAAAATAACTGGCTTCACCACCGAGGCAGAGAACGCCATGGGAATCATGGCTGAGCTGAGGGGATTTGGATCCGAGATGGTGGAGGAGCTTGCTGAGCGCCTTGGTGCTAAGTGTTAGTCACTATCAACTCCCAAAATTGTCGACTTGTACTAACATCATTTATAGATGAGCGATCTTCTGGAATCTGGGACGACTTCCATGTCGTTGATGGTCGACTCGTTACGGGTCAGAACCCTGCCAGCTCTACCTCTACTGCCAAGGCTGCTATTGAAGTGTTCGATAAGCTCTAGGTACTGTGGAGCGAATACAAGGTTCTCACCAAAGATATATATAGTAAAGGTGGATGTTTGACCTTCTCTTATTTTCTGTTTTCTTAAATATGATTATTCCCTTGGCGTTTAATAGGTTTTTTAAGAGCTATCTCAAATAGAAGATGCACGCTTTGTTCTTTAAATTATCATTCTGTCACGTCCACTAGCTAAAGTTTAGCCCGACTCCTACTAGTATAGCCACTAGTAGTCTCTAGTCAATCCCTCGCTAGGTCTTTCCACATAGAGCCCGTACCACTCACCCATTTTCTCTTAATTTCCCCCGAATATAGTGGAAATGAAGGAACGTACTCATCGCCACTTCCACTTGCGCTCATTGAACTCCTTTAAGTAAGGCGTGGATCTACATACTGCTTCTGTTGAAGGTGGCTCTATATGGAGTGAATACCGCGTGAAGGAGTGATGGCATTAGATAATTTACACAAAGGTGAAGGCCTCATGCTTCTTTATTCTTCCGACATGACCATTATGGTTGTATGCAGTATTCAAACTTCCAAACATGAATACAAAGTTGCATGTTTGAATCTCATTACCCATCTATTGTATCCCCAAGCTCCCCACAACAGCTCTGGCGAGGATGAGGAGACAATTGTTCAAGTAAATGTAAGTATCTAGTCACAGGCCCTCTGCCAGCTCTACCACTGGACCTGTAAATTGTTTCTTTCCTCCCAGCAGATAATAATAGACCCCTCCGATCAGCATCCATCCCATTGTCACCACGATACAATAATTCATATTATCTGGTGTCACCGGCTGGACCGTTGGGAAAGTACTAAAAACCATGCCTATGAGGAGCCAAAGGATAGCAACGATATTCACGACGGGTCCCCATCGTGGGCCGAGGTTGAATGATCCCGAGCCAAGT